AGATGAAAACTATTAAAAATATTCGCACTATAACGGGTTTTCGTCCCAATAAGACCTTGAGCGATGCTGAATTGTTCCGATGTCGACAGCGAAAGGAGATGTTGCGCAAAAATATTGTTCCTTGCAGCCTAGAAAGATTAAACGAAAGATGACAAATACATTTAGGAATTAATGAAAGAACTTAAAAGGAATTGGCTTATTGTCGGTACTTAAGGAGCATTTTAATAGATTCACGAGCGTGTTTGCTCGTAAGTGTTAAAGTCACCTATGTGGGAAAAGTGTGGATAAGATACAGCTGTTTTGAGACGTTTATCATGATGATCATGTCTTACATATCAAAATGTACGAATCAATATGTGAGTTTTTGGTATGGAGCTTTCGTGAACAATGTGTATTTGATAATGTGTGACATTTCTTTGACGAGAGGATCGAAATGCACCAATCATACAGTCTAGTGAGTCTCTTATTGAAATAAACCACCCATCATGAGGCAGCGTTCATTCGAGGGCGGCGTTTAATCGAGGAAATACGGTACGCTTAGTACAACCACGCCCAAATATACGCTCCCACAGAGTCTTGTTCAGGATTCGACACTCTTATACTAGAAATACGGTTGTAATTTCCGTGTTATTGCTACCACAAGAGTAAAATATTTAAAAAAGCCGAGTAACATTAAATAAAAATTATTAAAAATTCAACTGTGTTATTGTTGAATTGTGTTTGATTGCTTCCGCCAGTGCAGTACAGTCACCAGAACCAAGTTCATTCCATGACAAATCCAACTGTGTTATTGTTGAATTGTGTTTGATTGCTTCCGCCAGTGCAGTACAGTCACCAGTACCAAGTTCATTCCTTCTTAAATCCAACTGTGTTATTGTTGAATTGTGTTTGATTGCCTCCGCCAGTGCAGTACAGTCACCAGTACCAAGTTCATTCCCTCTTAAATCCAACTGTGTTATTGTTGAATTGTGTTTGATTGCTTCCGCCATTGCAGTACAGTCACCAGTACCAAGTTGATTCCCCCACAAATCCAACTGTGTTATTGTTGAATTGTGTTTGATTGCTTCCGCCAGTGCAGTACAGTCACCAGTACCAAGTTCATTGCGTGACAAATCCAACTGTGTTATTGTTGAATTGTGTTTGATTGCTTCCGCCAGTGCAGTACAGTCAGCAGTACCAAGTTCATTCCATGACAAATCCAACTGTGTTATTGTTGAATTGTGTTTGATTGCTTCCGCCATTGCAGTACAGTCACCAGTACCAAGTCTATTGAGTGACAAATTCAACTGTGTTATTGTTGAATTGTGTTTGATTGCTTCCGCCAGTGCAGTACAGTCACCAGTACCAAGTCTATTGTCTCACAAATCCAACTGTGTTATTGTTGAATTGTGTTTGATTGTTTCCGCCAGTGCAGTACAGTCACCAGTACCAAGTCCATTCCATGACAAATCCAACTGTGTTATTGTTGAATTGTGTTTGATTGCTTCCGCCAGTGCAGTACAGTCACCAGTACCAAGTCCATTCCATGACAAATCCAACTGTGTTATTGTTGAATTGTGTTTGATTGCTTCCGCCAGTGCAGTACAGTCACCAGTACCAAGTTGATTCCCCCACAAATCCAACTGTGTTATTGTTGAATTGTGTTTGATTGCTTCCGCCAGTGCAGTACAGTCACCAGTACCAAGTTCATTGTATGTCAAATTCAACTGTGTTATTGTTGAATTGTGTTTGATTGCTTCCGCCAGTGCAGTACAGTCACCAGTACCAAGTTCATTCCGTGACAAATCCAACTGTGTTATTGTTGAATTGTGTTTGATTGCTTCCGCCAGTGCAGTACAGTCACCAGTACCAAGTTTGTTGTATGACAAATTCAACTGTGTTATTGTTGAATTGTGTTTGATTGCTTCCGCCAGTGCAGTACAGTCACCAGTACCAAGTCCATTCGCATACCAATTCAACTGTGTGATTGTTGAATTGTGTTTGATTGCTTCCGCCAGTGCAGTACAGTCACCAGTACCAAGATTGTTGTATGACAAATCCAACTGTGTTATTGTTGAATTGTGTTTGATTGCTTCCGCCAGTGCAGTACAGTCACCAGTACCAAGTCCATTCCGTGACAAATCCAACTGTGTTATTTGAAGAAGCGAGCCAAGAGTAACAGCTAAGAGCAGATAAAAGGTACAACTCTTTTCGTTTTTACATTCTTTAATGCATTCCAATGCAACTGAGAACGTAGCGTTATCCTTTACCTTCTTAGCAATACACGAGACGAAAGCCTTTATCGCTTCTTCCGATTGCGAAGCTAGCATGCCACATGTGAACAAAAGCACCTGTTTAAGCTCTTTAAAATATCTGTCGTCGGTAATTAAGGTTTCTGGACAAATTTCGTTGTCTAGAACCTGGCAACAGAGGTGAAATGCCGCAAACAGCTCCTGAAATGTTTTATGTAAAAAGCAATAGTTCAGAGATGGTCTCACTTTTTTAGGGCTACACTCAACGGACAAGAAGCCGAATTCAGGTAATTCTTCTGAGCAATTTTTAAACTCGCCTTCTTCGAGGGACAGGTTATTATGAAGCAGACCGTTCCAGGCGATGGAGCCAAGCTGTCTTAGTTGAGTCTTGTATACTCTAGTGAGGTCTTCGTCTTTGGTATTTGGTAATGGTAATCCTTTGTTTTTCCTATATCTTCTAAGAACACACTCTACCATTTCTAGATACAGCTGTGTACCACTTTCTGGAAAAATACCATCAGAGTCCTCACAAAGAAGACAAAGAAGTACAGTGTTTAAAGGACTTTCTGTCAACTGTTGGAGGTTTTCGTCAGACTCTAGTTTGTTTATAAGCTTCTGGGCCAAATGAGGTTTCTCTTTGAAATACCTGAAAATGAACTCTCGGGCGTCTTCTTTGGTGAAACCTTCAATTTCTAGCAAGGTATCGCAGCACTCACGCACCTCCATCCCAACCTCTTGCCGTGCTGTAGCGACAATGTAACACTTTGGTAGCACTCTTCCTTGAATGACTTCCTTAAACGCTGCAAACATATTGGCAGGCAACTCATCCAATCCATCAAGTACCAGTAAAATATCGGGCTGATTACAGCGAATGAATTTGAAGAATTCTTCCTTATCTTCTTTTGTGCAATCTCGAGGCAGAAGCTGGTCATCAATGGCGTCCCAAAGGACAGACTTGAAGATTTCGTTCAGTTTCTCTTTTTCAGATCGAGGGAGAGGTTGTCCTTCGGTGGTCTCCGAAAGGCAAGACTCTATTTCTCGGCATTTAAGCAGTAAAACAGCTTGGAAGTTTGGAAAAAAACTTCCTGAAGGATTTTCTTGTTTGTTCGCTGCCCAATCGTAAGCAAGTTTATTACAGAATGTGGTCTTTCCTATACCTGGCCTCCCTTCAATTAAGACCGTCCTAGGATGAGCGCATTCTTCGTGGGGTTTGAAGATATCTTTCATAGTAACAGTTTTATCAGTCTTTGTTCCCCTTTCTTTCTTCCTGCTCACTATTTTGAGTCTGGTAAAATTGTTATCAAGGCTTAATCGAAACTTTTCCCACCATGGGAAGGGTGCAAACCATCTTTCACGGGTGCTGTAGAGTTGGCGAATGCCATCAACAAATCCAGTTGGGTAAAAACCACCTGGAAATAAAAGATATGTGTTTAAGTCGAACCCCCACTTTACAGACACCACCTTAATACGGACATCTCGTTGTTTTATGGACAGTTTCTTTTAACACTGGCAAGAGCCCTTATATTGTCTTAAAATTCAACCCGCTTTAAACGGACACCTGTAAGGAAGTCACCTCTGTAGAGTGCATGGCGTATAACTACTAATTTCGAGCTCTTCCGAGTTTCCACTGACTTTTCCCCGTTTTTGAAGTTCATTACGGGAAAGTGAGAAAAACAAGTTTCACTCTTTTAAAGCAAAACATTCAAATTATTCCCTTTACACCAAGTCGTGCTTTGTGACGACTCAATCTAAAGCGAAACGACGATCACGGTTATAATTCTTTTTATCTATTGGGTGATAAAGCAATGTTCAATCTCTAGCGACAATCACTCTAATACAAGCACAGACTGTTAATAGAGATCAGCTTAATCAAAACGATGGCGACGGCAACGCGTGTCACTAAAACGTAAAGTAATTCCCTTGTTTTGAACTGCGCATAACATGAAGAAGTCAAAGCATATGGTAATTTTCACCAGTCACCTGAAAAGAGGTAACGGCTCTCTTTATTATTTTAATCGTTTTAACTCTCCCAGGTTAAAATGGTGTTGGGCTTAAAACTCGCCCTACTCCCCGCCGCGCGTAAATGCCATTTGATGCCGGATGTGCCCCTTTGTTGACTCTTTGCAAGGAAACGAAAACGGTGATCTCCTTTTTTATTGGTTTTTACTGGTTATGGCTACAAGAAAAATATATTTAAAGGAGAAAAAAAATTCTGGTTAGTAGAAGTTGTATTTTTTTTATAATAATGGCGTAAAATGCCGCATTTGGAGACACAGTATAAACGGTCCATGTTTTAAATTACTTCCAAGATCGAGCAATTTAAAGTCACCATACTGAAAAATTATAGCCCAGATCACCAAACGGGTTTTAGATTTTAGTATATTTCATAGTTTTTTTTGTACGAGAATGATTTTTGACGGTTGTTCCAGCTTCGAACATTCCGTGCGCAACTTGGCAAAAACACATAGAATAACGGGCTCGCGGGGCGAAATCAAGCAAGGTGACCCCATCCATTTACTGCAGATTTTCAATGTACTGACTGTCAATTGGACCAAGTTTTCAAAACACTTGATAGTACACCCTTGTTAGTTAGACGGGGTATAGGGTTTATCGTTTATATCCGAGAAGACTAGAAGTCTAACCGTTTGCAGATGTCTTTCCAAAGGCAGCACTTTCTCCTCAGATATTTAAACACCCTGAGTGTTGGTCCGGCCGGGGCTTGAACCAGCGGCCTCCAGCTCGGCAGACCTGCGCTTAACCAATTGAGTTAACCAGGCGGGGTTAATGAAGTGCGGTGGTTATGAAGCCCGGCCAACTTCACTGTCATGTTTTTGTAAGCGTTTTTGGACTTGACCGTGCACGTTTCACTGTGAACTAACGAACCAATAGCAACGTCCTATAAAGCTATTTAGTCATAATTTGTGAACCAGGACAAACGATTGCACACTGCAAATCCGCGTACTCTAGAAGCTGGTTCCGATGACAAGCCATATAGTTATGAAGCCCGTCAGACAAACAATAAACTTGTATTTCACAATTCAGTTAACTTTAGAGCACATTCATGTGACTTTTGAGGGAAAGGCAAAGTGATCTTAGAGAAAAATAATTTGCAAACAGCCCAAGAGTGAACCAAATCTTACATCGAGTTGATAGCCTCATATGTACACCTAAAACCTGGCAATCATCTTTGATCACATTTAAACGCCATAATAGTTCTTGATTACCGTACACTAATTAGGTCTGGAAAAAAAAAACAGGCCGAACTTTTTGTTTTGATCATACAGACCTCAGACAGAATGCAGTATTTCACAATTTTGCAATACAAATTGCACTCGTTCAATATTCAGATCGAAGCATGCATGGGCTTTTAGCTAGAAAAATTTAGAAAAATTTCCAAAATCACCTATACGGCCAGCCGGTTCTCATTTTTGCAGTGCGAGATGTGGTCGAGTGTTTGAATAAACATTAATACAGTTACGCTCCAACATAATAAAGCATTTATTATCTTTATTTTTTATTTAATGGTTTTATCGATGGGTAATCTTCAAAAGCGTTTGATTCGCGTGACATTTTGAGTCCTCCTGCAAGCAATGTTCACTGAACGACTGAAAACAAAAGGCACAGCGATTAAAATTACAAGAGAGACTACTAACAATCAACAAAAGAAATATTATTCGGTGAAAAATATACAGAGACAACAATTTTCATTCACGAAGACAAGTAATAAAGTGTCTCTAAAAATCCTGAGTCTTCAAGCTTAAAGCTTAAGTTCATGTTTTAAGCCGGCTTCCCGGTGTTGCTTTTTACAAAGATGAACTTGAGGCATGAAAATCCCTCAAAGCTTTCTTTTACAGCCAGAATTATAACTAAATATTCTTTGGAACGTTTTCTTTCTATTTGCGGTGAGAAAATGTCGAAAGGCTTTTTAAAGTTCTGTAAGCTTATATCAAACCTGATACTCGGCCAGATCATTGTCTCAATCTTACAAACGTGCATAATTTAAATGGCCGCATAAACTACGCTGGACTTCATTAAAAACAAACATCAAATACAATAATTACTCAGGCTTATCATTCGAGATGTAGTTTCCGAAAGGTATCAAGTAAAGCCAGTATCGCTTCAAACTTTTCAACCCTCTTACGCATCAAGCACGGTGAAAAATGAAAACAATGCCATCCGAAATCGCATTTCCGACTTTGACTCAACCAAACACCCAATAACAGAATACTTCTGATAGCAGCTGAATTTCATTTTGTACATCCTGAGCCCGCGATACGATCAAGTGATACTGGTCAGCGGATACCCTGTTTTGACGGCTGTCACATCACAACATTGACGTCCAATATGTGTGCATTATCAGTTTTCCTGCGCTCCCAAACTGGCTAGAAAGTATGAGATTGAACATTGATCGCGATCTAGTAAAACAATTAACTGGTCAGCGAACAGTTTCCAAAAAAATCGCGTCACCTCGATGAGTTGACATATGAGCCGGCGATATGGTCATGTGATACTGGTCAGTGGCTATCCTGTTTTGACAGCTGTCAATTGACTATCCCCTGGACCATATTGTAAATGTCCAATGTAAAAGATGTGGATTTACCAAGACACCCCTGAGACACCCCTCCCTTCCTTCTGATTGTCTCCCCTACCCTACCCGTACAATCTGTAGACGAGTACGTACGTACGTACGCTCGGTCAATCACGTGACAACCAAACGAAAAGACGTTGACCATATTCGTGGGAGCCCCGCTAAAAATATTTTTGTCAGCTTTCTTTGACTTCACCGTGCACAACGTTATTAGCATTCCTACCATGTTGACTGAATCAACAAGTAGAAACGAACAAAAAATCAAACGATTGTGCATGGTGAGGGAGCTCTCAACATAACTGCAACACCGTTGATTTAAAGCAGCTTTCATAACCATTCGCCTCTATCAACTATATATCGCCTCTATCATCAAAGTCTCAGGAAAATTTTACTTCACCCTCCAACCTATGTGTGTTGAAGAAGGGTGCGTTCGCGTTGATGCTAATTCAAAGCGCGCAATCGATTGCAAACCAAAACAAAACATTACAACATGATTTTAACTTGTAATTTATATTGTCACAATTAAGCTCTCTTTTAGTATAAAGCAAGTTTTTTGAGTCTTGGTAGACAATTCATAATTTGAGTGTCAAACAAGGATCAAAGGATTGACGAACTTAAAAGCCACAGGAAAGAAAATACAGCAAAGATTTTCTTCGGCTGAATATATTTACTTTAAGATTAATTCAATCGAGCGGGATAAAAACTGCACAAAGACTTTATAAAAAGAGCTAATTACACATACCAATCTTAGGGTTTTGAATTGAATTCGAATAAAAGAAGGCGATGTGGGTAACTAAACAAGTATATATAAACAAAGAAATGAAAACGGCGATAACCGACTGCTGGAAAAGCTGTTCGTGTTGTTTATTCAAGATATTTTTTGAAGCTAAATGCAATCGTTGACAACAACCTTTTCTGAAAAGTAGAAAACTAGCGAGGCAAAATTCAATGAAAAACGGCAGAATTGAGATTTAGACAGCAAAAATGAAAAAGACCTAAAACAGAGCAAAAATGTCGAATAAACGGTGCATAAAAGGAAGATTGCAGTATTTACAACGTAGGTTATAAAGCTAGTGAAGCGACATCACTAGCCGCCTGTTTTGTTTTACTTCAGCGGTTTTCCTGGCTGACTTTCTTGATTCTCCCTTCACATTTTTTGTGTCAACAACAAAATTCACTTTTCCCTAGCTAATGTTAATAATAGCGCAAGTTTTAAAAGAAAAATGGTTAAAAATCACGAGTTTTGCTCATTCACAAACAACAAACAAACTTGTGAATGAAGCTGCCAACGATTCCGCCCGGGTTAGCGGGCAAGATCGTAAAAAACCGTCCGCTCTCGGAACCAATCAGATTGCAGGATTTGGAGGATTCCACCCGCTCACAAGCTTAGAAAGAAATAAATAGGTCGTAATTATCGATTCGGTCACTCATCCTCAAATCTTTGGAACGAGGCTGACACGCGTGTCACGAAACCCTTCCTCGTGGAAACGACGTTTTTTAGCTTCCAATGCAAAGTGCTATTGGAACAAGTGAGGTTGTCAGATTTGCATGTCTTTTCGTTTTATCTCAAGTCAAGATGCCGTTTGCTCTAATTCTTTTCTTTCTAACGAGTAGATTATGCTGCTGAGGACTCTTAACCTCGATTGAGCAAATGATATTTTTGCCGCTTGACTCACACGCCACATCGAGAAGTGATGAAGCGTGTCTGTCGCCCCGGTCTGTTTCATGTACATATTGATTTCCTGCGGTTTTTGTTTCTGACAGAATTTCATCGCTGAAGCAGTTATAATTTTCTTTGACCTGTCTTCCATGAAGCGTCAAG